ACGTGTGCTTTTTACAGAAAGAAAATACTGTCTATGTGACTGTTTGCTATTTATTTTCTGACTAAACATATTTCAAAAACCAGTAAATAAAAATGGCTTCTGCTTATGTGTCATTTCCGTTCAAATGCATTTCATTTGAAAGCCAACTGTCTCGCCACGCATTAAAGCATATGGGCGAAAACCATTTGAGTGTGATTTTTGTGGTTATAAGTTCTTTTCTAGAGCATTCCTCAAAAGCCACATAAAAATTCATTTATTCATTGAATGTAATGTGTATAAGAATGTGTATGCAACGAAAGGGTTCTCTTAAGCAGTTATGAGATAGTATTCATGAAACTTAATAATGTGATATTTATAACAAAATGTTCATGCATACAGATTCTTTAAATAAAACAAAAAGATTCACACCAATCTAAAACCATTTATATGCAATGAATATAATAAAGCATTTGTTTTAATAAGTGTTGTAAAGGCCCATAAGGTGACTCATATCAAAACAAAGCTTTACGATTGTGATATATGTAACAAATCATTTTATCAAGTTGGCTCTTAAAGGACATGTGACGGAACTGCTCATCCATATAGTATTAAGCCTTTTGTGTGTAATATGTGCAACCAAACATTCTCACAAAAGTCTCAGCTCAGAATGCATAAAGTATCCCATATTAATTTAAACTGATAAATGTAATAGGACTTATGCATACAAATATAGTCTTAAAGTCCACACGTTCATTTAGAAAAGAAACCTGGAAAAAGTGTCTTTAGTGAAATTTCAGTTTTTGAACAAGTGTTTAATTTTCCATCATTTTCTGAGAACCTAGAGACAAATGTAAAATAGTGGCTTTTTAAGTTAGGAATTTTCAATATTTTAAAACATTATACGTTGACAGTATTTCAGTTTGTTTTATTTTCTGCAATATTCGCTATTTATTTTTATGATTAATTATCAATTAATATGATGATTAGTTATCGTATTATTATAACGATATAGGTATAAAGATATTAATAAACCCGTCTACCATACTTCAACATTTTGCTTTATGGATACTAAGTATGAAATTGTGTACGTGACCACAGAAAAAGCCTTAATAAGCTAGATAAAAAAATTTAGCCTCTGAAGTTAGATGTCTTTGACGAACTAACACTTGAAATTCAGAGAACGGTCAAGAAAGTGAGGTAAAGGTAGAAAGATCACCTTTTCTTGTACTAAAGGATGTCAGTCAGATGGGAAGGCTATGTGAGATAAAAGACATGCCACGCAAGAAATCAAGTCAACGTCAGCAATTCCAGCTATGTTACAAAATTATGGTCTCAAGCATGTGGATGACAAATGATCTGATCAAATTATTTTCTGCAATGATTTGGTAATTGAGGACTTCTGAAAGATTTTCAGCATCGCAGTTAAGTCCAGCTTTTAAGAAAGGCTTATTGGGTTTAGCAATGTGGTCCACTATAGAGTCCATTTTTAAGTCATCATCGATCATGATGATTTGTCCAAATTATCTTCTGCAATGATTTAGTAGTTGAGGACTTCTGAAAGATTTGCAGCACCACAGCTTAGTCCAGCGTTGAAGAAACGGTTATTGAGTTTACCAGTGTGGTCCACCATAGAGTCAATTTTCAAGTCATCATGGAATCAGTTTGTTTCTAGTCTGTTAAATTAGCATTTATAAACCTTCTCAGGATCTTGTTTTGTAATGTCTCAGGTTTGTAGAAATCTGCATTTGGTGTTGAGGCCCACGTTAGGTATACGGAGTCTAGATATGGCCTTGTAATGCATCCTTTTCTTTTTGTACACAGTTTAGTATAGTTTTCAAGTACAGAAAGTTGGTTGGTATTTTACTTCAACAGACTAATAGTCTTAAACAGGAAAAATCATAACACAAATCAAAGTTGCAATTACAAAAAGTAACTTCCTGCAAGATAACTACGTGCACAGACGTTCAAAACTGCGTGCAAGCATGGGCAATCATCTCAAAGGAATTCATTATTTTTAGTTTAACTTTATACGTGGCCAATTAACAATCAAACTGATAAGTTTGCTAAACATTAGTAGTTCTACCTGGGTTCATTTCTCGACTATCGCTCTGGCTAATGCTTTCCTAAATGCAACATAAATAAGAGAATTGACCAGGACACGACTGGATTGGATTGAGAAGGGTGTTTTAAAAGGGGATCAATTAATTCATGAGAATGAGCGCTGAAGGAGGAAAATGCCTTCTTGAAACTAAGTTTTCAGCAGTGTTGCACTAGATTGTTAACGGGCAAATTATTTATTAACAGCATCTGTTCACAAATCCCTGATCAATTAATTATGAGTACTTCGCAAATACCTTGTATAATTAATTTTTTACTACATAGTTTTTTTCTTAAATGCGATGAAATCGTTTTCTATTATATTCTGATTGTAATTGTTAATTTTTGGATATGCTACAACGTTTATGCTAAAATATATTTGCCAAATTTGAATTAAATACTTACTACTAGTTCCACTTTCCTAAAAAAGACGTTCTCTTTCCTGCAATTTTCTTGCAAACCGTACTCATTTATTCTATTTGAGATATATCTGAAGTTTTAAACCTCTTATATACTTTAGAACAAATAATTTTTATAATTATGTTAAATTGTATGCTTACTTTCTTAGAATATCAAAATTTTTAAGTATTGGCATCAGTGTACTTTAATTTTCATCTTTCAGTTCCAGAATTTCAATAATCAACCGCCATTTGGTATAAAATGCTGAGGTAATAAGGTTGGTTTGGTTTATTTGACTGTGGCAAAGCACACAAGGAATACCTGCTTAAGGGAAAGGGATGCCTTCGTGGATCATTTTTTAAGAAAACTGGTTCGTATACACGTTACACATGGGAAAACCAACAAAAACCGCCATGCAGCCAGCCTGTAAGCTAGGATTCAAACAAGTCTAGATATGGCCTACCATTATAAAGCTACTAACCGAACTACCATTATAAAGCGCTCGGCCGCTGGTGACCCCTGAAATAATAAGAGCCATCCTGTTTCTTCCTGCAAGTTAATAGGAATGGTTTTCAGAGAATTTCATTCAAGAGCTATGGCAATAGTTTTGGTCTGGTTTATTTACTGTAGCAAAGCACTCGAGGACTACCTGCCTAGGAGGCGGAATGCCTTTGTGAAGCACTTTTTAAGGAAAACTGGCTCGGATGTGTGTTACTTACGCATAAGAAAACCCGTGAAATGCGCATGCAGCTAGCCCGTTTACTTGCGATCGAAATCAGGTCGAATTACCAGTGTTCAGCGATTTCACCGCTTGACTGCTATGGCAATAGAAACCGAGAATTTCGTTTTGGCCGATTAAAATTGAACCGTAGGACGTCATTGTTTATTTGTGGGTTAGAGTCTATGTTACAATTGATTATTTTGTCTCAAAGGAATTGGGAATATACTATCTAATCCATGTGATTTAGTGAGCCTATTTTTCTTCTGTTTTAAACATTACATACTGGCGTTTAAGGCAAAGAACAGTTTACGTTTATGTTGCAAATCTTTATAAATAATTTGACATTTTCGTTCGAATATCCGGTTTATTTCCGAGTTTATTAAATAGTATCGAATGGTTTCAAGAAATCCGTGCTTATGATTTATTGAACTTTCGGAACGTGATTTACTAGGTGTATGGACATCAATTTAAATTTCAAAAAGGTACACTCAACTACATTTAGAATTGACAGTGGTAGTAGGAAACTCCAGTAAAACACTAGGGGGTAGTTCAAGAAAGCCTTTACGAAAAAATTCATAGTTTTTATACACGTCCACAGACATGCATACACACAGAAAGAAAGTCTATACATCGGCAACGAGCATTCAGAAATGCTTCTAGAAAATTCACCAGCATTACTGTTTTCCCTTTCCCTTAAAAACGAAGCATTATTTGCCTTGATCGGCACACCAGCCACAATACTGGTAGTTCGGTCCGGAGTTCCGAGTCCCAGCTAACGAGCTGTTTGAACGGCCGTTTTCATGATTTACCCCGTGTGCAACACAAATGCGAGACGGTTTCTCTTAAAATATCCTCAACAGTGCATCCCTTACTTTCCACATAGTGCCTAATGGCGGATCACGTAATACAATTAAAAAATGTTGGCCTGATCGCTCCCGGACCCTTCGGTATCGCATTCAGGGTCCTCTAACCACTATAATGTCTGGGCAGCCACAGTGTCTTTAGATAGGTAGCAGCGTCGCAACATATCTACCTATCTCGTCTATGTATATTTCGCACATACACACACAAAAAAAGATTCTATATATCTCCCGTTCTACTGTGCCGATTGAAAACATTTAACTTGCATTTTTCATGTCTCGAAAGCGTATCTTCGATTATATATATATCATTATTCTAACATAGGTACTCTGAGACAAAATTGGAATCATCTGAAATAACATACCAATTTTTTCTGTATTTCGATTCTATGACTCAAATTATGTCAGTGTCAAATTTTGTAAAAATCGCCCGAATAGTTTTTAAAATGTTCGCTACTCCATCTTAATTTTGTATCTATGTATATTAATATATCTTTTGTTTTTAATTAAACTTTTTTTTTTTTTTTTTTTTTTTTTTTTTTACAGATCGTAATTTAGGTTCAATTCAAATAAAACTCACAACCATTTCCCGATTTGTTTTTAAAATTTGTATTTTTTGTAATTCATAAAATTTTCTAAAAAGCTTTTAAATGATAACCTATCAACTCTTTACCAAAACCTTAAAGTAGATGTATTATTTCTCAGCATACCTGCAACAAATTTAGAGTCTTAATAAAAATTTTCGAGGAGATGCGTAAATTTATACATATTGCCTCGTTTAGAAGTTTGGTATATTTGTTATAAACGATAATGAGGCCAAACGTCCTGTCCGCAGTTTACTAAAATCGTTTGAAAGACTGAACGTTGCCAGTCTTCACTTGCGCACAAAAACAAGCAATATAAAAAAACAATTTTTTTACTGAGCTGTTATAAATTTATGCAAGTAAATTCCTACTTAAATCAGCAAAGAAAAATTTTTAGTTATTTAGTAAATCCACATGTAGTAATTAGTAGGCGAGTAAGTAATATTAAAAAATTTTCTTTTGTTTCATTTCCAAGCTTTTCTTGACGCTTACGTTTTTTCTCTAATCGTCATTTGCATTCTGCGTTTGTGAAGCAAGGGACATTTTAAACATATATTATTACGTTAACATAGGAATATGGGGAGAATTTTCGCTACATAATGGGACATTACATCCGCTTCATCCAACTATATAAAACTACAATTATTTAATTCCATACACTTTAAAAGCCTTTAGAACTTTGTCTTATTGTTGCCACTTACTTACTTTTGTTAAATATTATAATCCCATTTATTGCAGTCATGTACTATTTAGAAGTTATAAAATTAATTTTTACATTAATTTATCCACATTAGAATTCCTAATAAACGACGGACATTATTTGCAAGTTTTGTAATATATTTAAAAAACATATCTTTAGTTCCGATAAACAGGAATAAAGAAGTAGGAATTGACTTATATGTGAAAAACTAGATTAACACCAAGTGTCATCCACTACAAGTTTAAAAAAATGTACTTGAACTTAGTGGATGAATACAAAGTTATTTTATTTACGATTGAAAATTTGAACAAGATTATAGAGAGTGTGAGCTAATAGTGGGAATTTAAAAAAGAAAAGGGAAATGGATTGCTATAAAAATAAGAATTTCTCCAAGTAAATTTTTTAATTTCTTGATAAGCTTCTCACCAAATTTTACACAATTTAGTATTTGGGCATAATTCGAGTCCTACAGTCGAAATATTGAAAAACATGAAATTAAATTTCGTCAATCACCCCAGTGGAACAGAAGATATAGAACTGTCCCTTTTTTTAATACAGAGTGTACATTAATTACTTATTCTTTAGTCTGTATATATAAATGTGAAGCTAATTGTCTGCTTATCTTTCTGCCTATAAACTTTATATTCCTACTTCGATAAAGATCCCGCTAAAAGAACCAAGACTCGGAGAGGAGAACACAATTTTTGAATTACGAATCTACAAACTCCGGGTATTAAACAGAAAACACAAAGTCGCATATTGTGTATATTGAAATTATTTTTTTGGTATATGGAAATTAAATTTCTGAGTTAAAATAATTATACTAATGCAGAAGTCAAACAACAAAAATCAGCGTTACATCAAAATTGAAAATATAACGCTGATTTTTGTTGTTTGACTTCTGAATTAGTAATTGTTCGGCGTGTTATTGTGTCTTAATTATAAGTATACTCTTTAATCGGACAAACGTGGGGTGTTTATAAAATTTGAAGTATCACTAATTTAAGTAGAATAAATGTGCGTTAAATGTTACCGTTTCAAATTAACTTCGAAGCAAATGAATAAAAATTATCCACGAAGCAGTTTATAGTGAATACAATGAATCATTAACAGTAACCTTTTCATGCCAATCTTGAAAAATATCAGTAACTGCTTGATATAAAATTTCATTAACAAATTTTTAAAATCACAAAACTACAGAAATATATAACAGCTCAGTACAGCCATTCGAATACCTATACCCTAATTATTCTTCCCATGAATAAAATCATATCATTTCTGTTATCTATAATGATAATCATGAAAGGTCGGTTCACTATGAAGAGAGGTATACGAAGTGACATAAATGACCTTCTAATGGATTCTAGGTCTGGTGTTTCTAACGCTGCTTCAGTGCCGCATTCCGATATTTCTAGCAAAGTTGAATGCATAATCAGACGGACAAAAACAGATCTATTTCTCATCATACCAGAAAAGTCTGCACGTTCTTGGAAGATCTTTTTGGCACCTGCGGCATGTATGATCCCAGACAGCTCGTTGGAATACTCCAGCTTGACTCTTGGCATCGAGACAATGACCCTTGTCCTGTGCATGTTGCGTCTGATCAACTTTAGAGTCTCTGCTGTTATAGCGCTTTCCAAATTGGGGAGATTATCGTTATGTTTTGGTAACAAAACTAGCATACTTAAATTTTCGTCTTCGTAAGGCAGTTCGAGAATTTTGAAACCTTCCTCCATCTTGTAAGGTAACGTTGCTCTCATATGCATCATTGGTACTTCTCTATTTAAAGAAAAAAAACTAAGTTGTTTCGTTTAAATAGTTGAGAATAACATTTAAAAGATCTGGTACTTGCGTATTATCCCGTCTACCGTGAAAATTGGCTGCCATCCAACCAAGAAATTTGGCAAAAGTTGCGCCAATCGTATTTAATAAACAATCAATATTGGACAACTTTGCGAAAAGCGCTTTCGCAGATTTCTACCGTTTTATTAGATGTACCAATTTTACTCGAAGCTGTGTTTAGAAAGATGAGTACAAATGTCCCCCTCGGGTTATTGTTCCAATCTGTTATCGTTTTGTAGGTCGTATTCAGCAGACCTTATCGTGCCATTAATCCGTTTTTTTTTCTGGTAGGATTTCATAACTTCCCACACAATGGATCCCCATAACTTCCTAATAGACTGCCTAGACTTCCCTAGAAAATAATTCCGCTGCTTGCTGTTCATTAGAAGGCAGCCCAAATCTGAGCTCTATTTTAATGTAATAAAAAATACAGCAGTAATAGCTAATTTATATTATGTTCATAAAAAGGAACATCCCTACATATAATAAAAGAAAGAGTGTGTGTGTGTGTGTGTGTGTGTGTGAGAGTGAGAGAGAGAGAGAGAGAGAGTCTTTCATTCGCGCTGCGCGTAAGCTAATAGACACACGCCTAGGAAGTTTGATACATAGGTGCATCTAGACAAGAGACAGTGCACCTCGAAGCGATTTTTTCGAAATTAGAATTTTTTTAATTTTATGTTTTGTGACGAAATCGCGTCATTTTGAGACACAATAGGCTATAGGAAAGCGAGATTTTACTCTACGCACTCCATTTCCACATCGTCATGAAACGTAGGCACTTAGCTACATTTCGAACTTAAAACAAATTTCGTGTTTCAATAAATCGATTTAATACGAATTTATTTAACAAAGGGAGCTTAACACCTTTTCAACGGGATTTTTTCTAAAAAAAGTTTATTTTTAAAAATGTATAGCTTATTTTTCTTTGACTTTTGGATACGTTAAACTTTCATCCTTGCGACTGCTTTTACAAAAAGAATTTTGGAAAAATAATAGCTTCTATTTTTACAAAATTTTTTAAATGAAGCTTCAGAGTACACATCTTTAAAAATGTGATTGTGGCAACAATTTTCCGGTCTTATTGTTGATAGATTTTTGGTGAAATCGCCTCATTTTGAATAGTTTCATTCTTTTAGAAATATGGGTTTGGTAACAATTTTTCATCGTATTTCTTATGTCACTGTTTTTAAGAGATTGACATATTTCATTGTCATTTTTTTATATATATAATACATTTTTATTTTGGTAAAGTTGTTTTGCAGAGTAAAATTTTGCGCGGAACTTTTTGTTTCGAGTGTTTTTTCGTTATTTTTTGCTTATTTCACTGTAAGATATTGAAAAGTTTTGCATGATTTTTTTCTTCAACGGAAAGTTGGTTAATTTTTTTATTAGAATAATTAATATTTGTATTAAGGGATATAGCTCATTTCATTGTAATTTTTTTCTCTTGAAAACACAAGATAAAATATCATTAATTATACTTTGCTTTTCAGAATTTTTTGTTTTTGTATTCTTTTATGTTATTTATTGCTCATTTCACGGTTTTTAAGATATTGAAAAGTTTTGAGCGTTTTTTAGGAAACAAAGTTTTTAACCTCCTGTATACCATTTGAGTTCTAAAGATTTTGCAAAGGGAAGTTGGTTAATTTATTTATTAGGATAATAAATATTTGTATTAAGGGGTATTGCTCATTTCATTGTAATTTTGTTATACGTAATAACTTTTTTCCTGAAGTTGTTCTGCAGAGTAAAATTCTATGCAGTTTTTAAATTTAACGTTTGGTGTGGCCCTTCAGCCATTTTTCCGGTACATTTAAAAGCCAGACGAAGGCTGGCAGCGAAGCTGTTATTATGTTCATAAAAATGAAAAGATGTTTAAAAAAGAATCAATTGGAGTTACAGCTTAGAGTGGGTTTTTTTAGTTATTCTTATCGGAAACTGGCGCTAAATAGCGGTGCTTAGCAACGGTTTCATGGTAAACGGGATAATACGTAAGTAAATTTTAATCTAAATAATGAGGGAAAATAAAGTGACAGAATTATAGAAAAGGAAATTATCTGTCGCTCAGTTTTAGCTCACCACTAGCCGAGCGAGAAGTCTGCTGAAATTTGGAAATTGAATCGGGTTAAAATCCTGGAGAATACTCCGACTGCCTGAAGTTTCCACAGTCTACATATGTAACGTGAATACGAGACAGCTTCCTTTAGAAAGCTTTCCATGAAAACATCTTTCTTTAGGCAACCTTTCCTTACTTTGTCCTACTCCCTTCGATTTCGTACATTGAAACTAGAATTCTCTAGGTGGGTTTAGTTTTTTATATTTCTTTTCAGATTGATTATGCATAAAAAAAGGAAAGGATTCTGAAAGAGTATAAATCGTCGATTTTAAAACAAATAAGGGCTTTCTGAATTAAACAGTTTCTTTTGAAAGACTAAATATTTATCTTCTAATTAAAAATACACACATAAAATACGCGAAAAATTTGAATATATAAACAGCATTTGATAAGTATTTCTCCCAAACTATTGACTACAAGAATTTTAATTGTAGTTTGTGGTGTTACTTTTAGCTGCTACATTTAAAATGTTCATATATCAATTCAAAAGAGACTGCTTTTCATTTGGTTTGATTTTACGAAAAGCTCACTAGGGCTATGTGCCTAAAGGGACGAATGCCTTCGTTGAGGACCTTTTAATGGAAACTGGTTCGTATACACGTTACTCATGAAGAAAACCAAAAACGCCCATGTAGCTAGCCTGTTCGCCTGGATTCGAACCCAGGTCGGAACTAGAAGTTTTCAGCGATTATACCGCTAGGCCACTGACGGCGATTTGATTTGAAAAACTTGACTTTTGATTCTAGTTCTGCGATTTTGTTTTTCCTTCCTTCACGTTTCAGCAGCCTGTTCGTAAAGAGCACATAAAACTGTTGAACCGAGTAATTTACTTCATGTAACGTATCTAAGAAAGGAGCTGGCTGTATGGGCCCGCTTCGCTTCGCATATGTAAGGCGAATATAACGTATTTCCGTTTTCTAAGAGGGTAGACAAACAGGCCTCATGTGCCTCGTCCATAATGATTAACCCTTAAATGCATGCATTTGCCATTTGGTAACATTCTTAATTATGTAAATCAAATCAAAACACAAATTTTAGCTTACTGCATAGTGTAACCAATTGGATACGCAATCTTTAGGTATATGGTTTTGAAATTTTCAGTGTGGTGGCACCACTACTGGTGTAACGGTTATTATGAGTTGATGTGTAGGGTGTGGACATCATTTGTGTTTATGAATTTTTGACTTTGTTTCTTGCTATTTTGATGCATTCAAAGTTTTAAAATTGTTTGAACAAGTTTATAAGGTATGTATTATTACACAAGTGTTATTACGCATCCTTTTTTTTTTTTTTTTTTTTTTCCCCATAATGTAGCCGTTTGTCAACGGTATTTTTTCAAAAATTGGAATAAAAACTTAGTTCAGATTTTTTAGTATTTTCCCCATTATATTTAATATCAATTCTAGTGTATTTTTACTTTAAAAATAAAAAGAAAAATTCATGCATTTAAGGATTAAGCAGTCTACATAAGTATTTATAAATTACATTTTTAATCAGCTGTTCAAAGAGTTATCCATTTTAATGTCTGGCCCACCAGTGACCGAGTGGTAAAGGGGATTCGAACCCGGGTCGTAAGGTTCGGCAGCCAGCCACGCTAACGACTATATCGGTTGGGCGGCGTACCTGTATCAGATACAAAAGTGATGAAAATATGTTGGGAGGGGGTCATGACCCGTTACAAAATTAGTTGCGAGACGGCTATGTGCCTATTTGTGCTGACTTTAGTTTAAGATGACAGGTGAGAGCGGACCAGAGACCCGGGCGGCTTACATAGACTATTCGATTAGTGCTAGGAGCCCCCAACTGTGTACGACAAGTATAACTCCTCTTCTTCAAAAGCACCACATCGGGAGCTCATTTAGAAATGTTCAAAAGCACATCACGCAAGACAGGGGCTAAGAAATACAAAGGAATGGTAATTACTGAATGTAGACAAATGGTACCTAAACATGACACATTTGAGGCTTGGAAATTGAAGGATGAATATATAATACAGGCACTTATATTAACAGGTAGAACGTCATAATAAGTAAGCATCAAATAAAGCACCTCTAGAGGTAAACACTAAACACTAATTATACAAATACTGTATGCATGTGATATATTGTGGGTAACGTGTTGTCTACATAACGAATACTCAATATACATGCTATACTTAAGGTACGAATTCCAAGGACATTAGTTATTTATATTGTTGGCGCGGAAGATACGATTTATACATGTGTATATAGCATTGGTTCACTCTGTTATTCTAATACGTCAGTTAAAAGAATACTTCCGAACTGTAGACAAAAGACCTAAGCATAAAGCATTTCAACCTAAGTACTGTGAGGTGAACATATAGTACGACACTAAAGGTAACATAAAAGAGGGTGTTAAAAACGTGTAAACACACATGTGCACAGCACTGTCAGAAAACGTACAGACTCGACGCAAAAGGCATTAAGGCTTTAGTATGTTAGGCATTAGTATAAAGTATATTACTTTATACTAATAAAGTCTATTTTTACTAATAAATAATCTACCAATAAAGTCTAGTCTTTCGTGTAAAAATGTGTATTAAGTAGTGCTAGAATATTAACAGTAGGTCTTTCATGTAAAAACGTATATTAAATAGTGCTAGAATACTAGCAGCAAGTCTCGTGCAAAAATGTGTATTCAGTAGTGCTAGACTATAAAATACGTATTAAATAGTGCTTATTAGCAGTAGGTCTCATGTAAAAACGTATATTAAATACTGCGCTAGAATGTTAGCTGCAAGTCTTTCAGGTAAAAACGTGTATTAACCAGTGATAGAATATTACAGTAGGTCTTTCGTGTAACAAAATATTAATTACATTCCCTTTAATTCTTACTGAAAAAAGGTTAGGTTCGTATATGTCCAGGCTGGTACACGTTCAAGGATCTGGTAGATTAGTGAAGTATAGCGAAGTACTACTGTATACATTGTCTTTGTACCCATATGTGTCTCCTTTGAAAGATTCTCCAGTTAAGCAAGTTAGAGCTTAACAAAAGTGTATTAAAAAATGTCAAAACAAAGAAAATGCATAAAAGAACGATTCTTAAGAAAATATTACTCACTTTGCCAATCGAAAAAAGCCTCCATTGTTGAAAATTTCTTTACGAGTATTATTAAGTTCGAATTTAGTTTTCCATTTCCCTTTGAAATGTGCAGCACTCAAAATTGCAAACTTTGTATTTGGCGCGATTCTGTTTACAATATGATGAATTTCACCCCTAGTTTTTCTCTTCACCCAGTCGTTAGCGTCGCTCTTAATTTCGGAGCTTTTCGTCTCGAAATCAACTCCTCTGACGGATCCGTTGTATACCTGTTTCATACTGATCTTATAGTCTCTAAAAAGACTTGCCGTTTTGTCTACCAAAAGTGCGTTAGCGTTTGTTAATCGATAGATGTCCGACTTCCACGGGATTTTCTTCAGGAGCTCGTTGAAAGCTGTATGCACTTCGTCGTTGGTTAGGTTTGTTTCTGCAAAGCCCAACATATTTCCCAACTCCTATATAATAGAAGAATAGTAACGCGTTACATGTGTGCATATATTACCGTTTACCGTGAAAGACCGAAATTGGAAAATGTCGGTGAAAAATCGAATATTTAGTTATATTCTTATGCAGTACAGCAGCATGTACAAGGGTCACCACTATATCGCCATTGACAAAAATGGTATAGTCCACATGTACCATCTAGAAAACGTCCACCCATGGGGCACACCAATGCCAAGCTTCGGGCCTTTGAGTTCTAAAAGTAGGTTACATTTTTTAAAACAAAGATACAGTAGGCTGCATGAGGTTCGTGGATTTAAAGTACCTGTGCACAGTAAGGTATTTTAACAGGGTACAGGAGAATGGAAATTTGAATAACAAAATAAATGAAATTAACTAAATGCAAAAATTAAGAATACTTAGGGAATACAAAAAATACGTTAAATACTAAAATACAGTGTAGATAGATAAGGGACAGAATGGATTTTAAGCAGGTATTTTGTTGCGTTTTGGGAGGAGTACATTTTTGTGTAGTTGGTACATTGGTATTGTGCATGTTTGTGCTTGTGTTGTCCAAAGTTCTGTTCAGAGTTCACTTAAGTGAACTCTGAACAGAACTTTGGACAACTTTGGACTTGAACTATTAATAGTTCAAGTATATTCTTATGCATTTGGACTATCATCGGTGTACGTCGACAAGCACAGATGGTCGAAACGAAAAACCGGGAAGACAGACAGAAGCGTTGTAAAAGCAAATGTTGGTTTATGTGATTACGGCGAAGTCTCGAGGGCTATCTGCCTAAGGTGAGAGATGCCTTCGTGGAGGACCTCCCAAGGGAAACCGGCTCGTATACACGTTTCACATGGGGAAACCACGAAAACGCCTACGCAGCCAGCCCATTCGCGGGCGAGAACTTCGTATAGGACTACCAGTGTTCAGCGACTTTTATCACTCGCTCGCTAGCGGACCGTAAAAGCAAAGGATTCTTTTTCAATTTAAGGTGTCATGCAAGTTTTAAGTTGCTGCAACAAATAAGATAGTACAAGGTCAATCACATAATTAAGTTTTTTATTAATGTTATTTTCTTTTCTCATTTAGAATGTGCTGTTGGTTTTAAATTCAACAGTTTATTTACATGTGCCGTTTCTCTTACTTTGATATATATACCATAGTATGTTTTAATAATAAAGTATGGTTGAAAAACATAAAAGTATTTTTATTCAACGTTCACCATCAGTGCATGGTGAATGTCGGAATTAAGGATAAGTAAGAAGTAAAGATATTTAGCAAATGCTTCGAACACACACCAACCGACTATGTGAATGCTAATATTCACCGGTGAATGTTGACATTCTCCAGATTTAGGTCATTCACGGTAAAATATATTTATATTCTTCGTAAAATTTATGGGCTATTGATGGAAATATGAATTAACTGGTACTTTTAGAAGGGACATTAAAAACAGTGGGTACAAAAGCATTAATATAAATTACCATGTTTGCCAGTTGATTAATGTCGAAATAAGTCAGATTTATGAAAATTCAAAAGTGATGGAAAAACGGCCTTTTCTATTTAGCAGCAAAACTCAGGTTTATGGTCACCTGTGTTAGAAATGCAAAACTTGCACATTAATTTCCCAGAATTAACCAAGCTGTTCGGTCTTAACGAAACGCAAACCGATGGTCTGAAAGTGCCATTTTCAAATCCTAGGTTTTCACGCATTGCAATTAATTCTCAGTTTTGCGCGTTGCAGAGGTTTGATCCAAAATTCCAGATTTGAAAACAATTGACAAGACAGAATTTTTTTCTTTAAACATTTTAGCAACAAAATAAATTTAAATGAATTTTAAATTTCTTACTGATATATAATATTCATCAAAGCAATAATAATTTCTTAAAGGGAAAAATTAAATTTATGTTTAATTATAACTAAAATTGTTTTATTTCCCCTGCAATTCAGTGCGAGACAAATTTCCAGGAAAAGTTAAAATACTGAAGCACGTGCATTTAACATTGAATGAACGGATATCTCGGTAATTTGTATTTAAATCGAATAAATGTAATTTAACACTATGTTAGCTGTAACGGTAATTCCATTCTTTTTTGCTTTCCAGAAATCTCGAGAAGCAGAAATTACCTGAAATTTCTCGCGACCGATTGAAAGCTATAAAAAGCCTAGAGAGAGCATTCAGTTGAGTGTTTAGTTAGTTGCGTGGTTACTGTTATTGCGAGTTTGGTTCCGCGGGAAATGAGATATCTGAATTAGCTTTCTCCTTTTCTTTGCATTGTGTAGTATTTTAACGTTATTAATAGTTTGAAGTTATTGATTATCTTACGTGATATTGTGAACACTCGGACGAATATCTGACGAAAATTGCAGCGTTCTGTTACATTTCTTTCGATAGGAATAAATTTTATTAAAGTTTTATCAGACTTGTGCATTTAGTCTATTGAGAAACAGTACGCAAGCAACAATATTGCTAAAGTTTAAATTTAATTAGATTTTCTCATCAAAATTTACATTGGATGCCAAGTGGCGCCTCGTTAAAAGGTGGAAAAACCGGAATGTGCAACTGTAAGAATGGAATAATTATAATCCTTCTGATTTATGAAGTTTTGTATTCCTCTTCGAATTAAGTGGACACATTGTATACAGTCGGCCTTTATCTTCGCTACCGTTGGTCGTTGGGCATATACTTAGAAAGATGTTTGAAATGATGCAACGATTCATTTTTTGACATTTTAAGAACTCAGTTTTAGGAAAATCGTGAAAGCTAAACGACGTAGCAGTAGCTTAGTTATTAACTATGTACTGGGGTTTACTACTACTCACATGTCATTTCCTATGAATTTTTTTAAGAATACTTACATTTATTATTTTATGGTATGTAATTGTTTCCCTAAATTGCAGCACTTACATACATTAAGCTGTTTGTTACACCATTTCATGGACGTCAGCTCCTCAGCCCGAGAACACGTAAATTTAATAGTAAGTGACGAACGATATTCTGAAACTGCCGAGCCAATTTCCGACATGGAGGGCCTTATTTTTGCAATTTTTAACACTGCACCTCCAAATGGCTTCTTCCTTAACGAAATTTCATGTTATGGCGAATCAAGTAAAAGACCTCTCTCGCAAAAATGGAATGGCATCCACTTCATTACTTGGCAAATTACAGCTTGATAACGTCATATTCATAAAAAAGTAATGAATATATTTTTAAGTAAACAATGCAAATTCAAAATCTCAAAAATTAATTACATAAGGACACGTGGCGACAGCAAAAATGCAACAGTGTACACACACTATCACTTGTCGAGGAATACGATCCCGCAGCCAGATTTTGGCGAGGTATCTCGGTTGATTGGCGATTCATTGTTGGAGGCCTCTGTAAAAAAGAGGTACCAAAAAAATTAAATCTTAACTTTTGTAAAACTTCTTTAAATGTGAAAATGCCAAAACATTAATATTTACAGCATTTATAACATTTGTGTTAAAAAATACATGTGTATGACCAGTGGTTGCGAAAATAAAGACCAGGTGAGGACTTTTTGGTGCATATCGTTGACTGCCAATCCCACCTACTTATATTTCTCGCCAACATTTACGATTGGAGTCAAGTTATGCCCCGTTACAAGTACAAGTTTCTATAAATATAATGCATATATATATAGATTTTTATAGATTTATATTCATATTTATGATTCACATTTTTATTTAACACATTTACGACTAGATTTCACAAAAAAATATGCAACTAAAAATTAAAAAAAGTGAATGAAAGGTCTCAACTCATTTCAAGGTTTTTATCCTGAATATTCGAAATTCTAAATCAAATTTTTATTTGGTATCCACTGTTAAAATTTTGGTTTCGTAGTCACCCACAAGTAATGGTAAAGTGTGATTTTAATGTAAACTTACTTGTGCCGTTTTACCTCTAGATCCATAATGAAGCATAGCAAAAACCGTGGCGAGAGACAACGGTGAAAAATAGGCATCTTCATTTTTATAATGTGCAAATTTCTTCTGCAAGTTGAAAGCAAAGTCATTGAGGGCGGGAACCAGTTTTTTCATCCTTATCTCAGCTGGTGTCAATGGAACACAGTAGTCTTCACCTTCCTCCTCCTTCTCATCCTCCGAACAAGAATCTTCTCCTTCCTGGGCAAAAACTGCCATCACCAACAGGAAGAACACGCATAACATTTGATACCCCATCTCCGAATTGCTTAAAAGATCAGCTAAGAGACAAAGCGTGAGTTAGAATAAAAAAATCACATAAAATTCAATATTACGCAATGGCTGCCTTTCTGCCAAGCCTTAAGTTCTAATATTGCTATTAAAACAAATAATCAGTCAATAGCAGTTTAAGATGTCTGAATCTTAAATGAAATAGTAAGTTTGATGAATCTTAACTGCAAAGAAGTTAGTGTAAATTAACATACAACGTAAATTTTCACCGAGGTTTTCCAGCGTGGTCGGAAATCCCACCCCATTTATCAACGAATTTTTAAAGGAGGTTAAGTGATCAACAAGGGGTCGACTTGCGGAAGACAGCCAAATATACACCATAATTTATTAGCATCATTAAATTTCCACCGATTACAAAAACTTAATAAAATCGATGACGTTGATACAAAGCTTTATCATGTAGTAAGAATAAAATCGAAATAAATATCAGAAAATTTCACAAAAACTATTTCATATTTTTTAAAATCGATAATTGTTAGTACAAAGGGGTAATTTTCTCAGAAGGACTATTGATTTCGTTTTCGCATTTTGCGTCGATTCACGATAATCGTTGTTTTACTTTTCAAATTGTTGCTACCAAATATTATCGCCCTCTGCATTGTGATGAAACAACTGTACCTAGAGCCATCAAAATTTGAATAACGTAATCTTCCATAGTATATAGCAACACTATACGGGAAAAAAAATTTTTTTTAACTGTAGCGCACTAGACTATCGAAAATTCTAAAGATATGCTCATTTTAAAATTATTTTGCAATGTTGCTGTTGAACTGAATTTTATTTATTAAATATGTTCTTGGCAATTAAATCATAAAGTTAAAACAGAAAACGTTAAAAAATGCCTTTTTGGACGGAATTAAAAATCTGAAACCTTTAAATTTTTTTAAAATATATAATTACTTTATGCTATAATTTGTATTGTTACGAATTTTGTATACATAGCTAATTTTAGTAGAATTATAATTAAAATTGCTTTATTTCCCCGTGCAGTGCAGCACGAGACATATTTTAAGAGAAAGCTACAACGAAAAAGTAAAAATATAAGAGCACCTGCATTTAACATTGAATAAATGGATCTCTTATTTGTATTGAAATAGAATAAATGTAGTTATCTGCAACCATAATTCCATCCTCCTGTTGGTTTCCAGAAATCTCAAGAAGCAAAGAAATTACTAGAAATCGCTCGCGACCGATTGTAAAGCTTTAAAAAGCCGGAGACGTCATTTAGTAGTTGTTACTCAGTTTTTAATAGTTTAAAGTATAACTACTGATTATTGCTGTGTGATATTTTGAACAATTGTGCAAATATTTCGGAGAAAAATTCTAGCATTCTGTTATTTTTCTTTTGATAAGAATGAATTCTATTAATCTCTTATCGGACTTGTGCATTCAATCTGTTACGAACCCGTACGCCCGAAACAGTATATTTGAATTTTATAACAGTTATTTTTATTCCAATGAGCTTTTCCATCGATTCTTGTTTCGAGTTACAGCTCCCTAGCAGAATGAGTTTTTAGAATCGCATTGAATGCAAATGAGTTAGGAATATTTAAGGAAGGTTCAACGTATTTCGAGAGAGAGCTAGGAATGCTGTATAGAGTGTTTGCCCTCGGGCCATGTCTCTCTTGAAGCTGTTACACTCGGCCGTATATTAAGTGTCTTGATATTCGCCTATTAGCTGAAGTTCAAGGAGAACTACGTTAGATAATTCTTTTAGCTTCGGTTAAGTCTCCTAGTTAGTTCTAATTTAGTTCTTGTTCTGAATTTAAGCCCGAGTGGTGGCTTTGTTGTAAGCCCGAGAAAGGGGCCAACTGTTCATCTCATTTTGAGTGAAATAAAGGGTATTTAACCCTTCTTACTTTAGCTATTTGAACTCAACGATAAGTCGCTCAACAGCTCACTAAGTTCCTCGACATTTACTATAGCCAAAGAGTACGGAACTCTACAAAGTACAATATAAAAAAATTAAGTCATTAAAACACAATGCAAAACTACAGAATCAATTTTGACCAAGATGAATTTAAAATTTGAGCAGGTATCTGTCAAATATTTAAAAGAAATGCATCGGGTCCAGTCATCGCATGAATTAAACTCAAACTTTCTACAGTCTGAATCTGTGATTTTGTTTCTGAAAGCTTGTTTATTTCTTCATAAAATTAAAAATAACAAAAAAGTCTGAAAGGTTTCAGATTTTAAACTACGTCCAAACGGGCTTTTTTTCCAACATTTTGTGTGTTGCATTTATTAAATATCACGTTCTTCGCATTTAAACCATAAAATTCAGTTCAACAGCAGTATCGTAAAATAGTTTTAAAATGAGCATATCTTTAGATTTTCCGATCCAGAGACTCGCACGCTGGGGATAAAAATGTTTTTTCTGTAGAGCGTTGCCACTGCTCGCTTTGAAATCCTCGAGTCTAATCAAAAATTCGTTAAAGTTTTACAAAATATGAAATCGATAATAAAACAAGTTCAAATTTTCAAATTTCGGCTTCCATATGCCCATATTCGTAGCAGGATTACGTCATTCAAAATTCGATGGCTTATGTACCGTTGTTTTATCACAATGCGAGAAATATACACACATTTATGCAGATTTTTCATTATTTAATTTCTTCAAATATAATGCAGGACTTAAATATTCGATGGCAACAGCTTGAAAAGTGAAAGGGACATTTATACTGAACCAACGCAAAATCGCAAAACGAAAACAATAGTCCTTCACAGACAAAGCTTCTTTGGACTAAAAATAATACAAACAGAATGAAAAGAAAATGTCCAACTTGAAAATTAAATTGCAAAACTAATCTTATTCCAGAACACTTAATAGAAAGTTTAGGAATAATCATTTGACCATCACTAAGTTTTCAAATAAATAATTCTCAGAATTGATTAGAGTTAAAACACTTCCGGAGTCAAACTTCAGATTCATGGCGTAGTAAAAGAACAGCCACAACTCTGTTTCTACTGACTGGACAGAAAATAAAAGTAATCTGAAAGCTGAATTAATAAGCTTTAAAGTAAATTGTGAATTTAGAAATATGAAAGCTTTTAGATTTTATATTAGGTCCGAAGGCGCGTTTTTATCATCGACATACCCATTCGTGTTTCGAGACCGTATGGAGTAGTATTCCTTTGACCTAAAAATATTTAAAAACACAGCATATCTTTAGAATTTCCGATACAGTCTCAGGGCCCACCAGCGGCCGAGCGGTAAAGTCGCTGAACACTGGTAGTTCGGTCCGAAGTTCGAATCCCGCGAACGTGCTGGCTGCATGGGCGTTTCGTGGTTTTCCCCATGTGTAACGTGTATACGAGCCAGTTTTCCTTAGAAAATCCTCCACGAAGGCATCCCTCCCCTTAGGCAAATAGCCCTCGAGGCTTTGCCATAATCACACACACCACACTAATGCAGTCTCCTGCGCTGGAGATAATTTTTTTTTTTTTTTTTTTCCCCCGTACAGCGTTGGTCATTGCTCGCTTTAAAATCATTGAGTTTGTTAAACAAAATTTCGTTAAAGATTTACAAAATATGAAAAACTCAATAAAACAAATTCGAAATTTAAAATTCCGACTTCCAGGTGTCAACATTCGTGAGGAGAATTACTTAATGAAAATTTGTCTCTAGGTACCGTTGTTTTTTCATAATGCGAGAAACATTCATACTTTCACGGAAACTCTTCATTACTTAATTTCTTTAACTACAATACCGGGTGATACTATTTGGTGGCAACAATTTGAAAAGTGATTCAGACTTTTATACTGATTCAACGCATAATTTCGTTTTGAGACTAATAGCCCTTCTGGGCTAATGCTCCTTTGGGCTAGAAACAAATTTGATAAACTATTTTTTAAGACACAATAACACGCCGAATAAATACTAATTCAGAAGTCAAACAAAAATCAGCGTTATACCTACAAAATTATTATTCCTCGTATAACTGAAAATTTTGTAGGTATAACGCTGATTTTTGTTGTTTGACTTCTGAATTAGAAACTTTTTTTTTTTTTTTTTTTTTTTTTTTCAAAACTACTATTAATATTCTTAGTTTACTGATAAGTTATTATTAAGTAGTTATTTCCCCGTTACTGATAACTTATTTTATTTGTTGATTATGTTGTATGCAGTATATTATAAAGAAAAATGCAACAAGGGCGATGAAAGGAAACCATTCTTTTTAAGGGGTTGAATCTAAGAAAAGTATTGGAAATCTTTCCTTTAGGCTCTAGCATAATCGATAAAATTATATTCAAGGCAAAAATGTTCAAATCTGGCCTCTTAGTTCTCCAGTGTGCTACCTTTTCCAACCATCTGAGTATACTGTAGTGCACTCAGACGGTTGTAAAGTTCTCACAGAAGGGTTAAGCCCAGCAAAATAAAAACATTCTTTTGTTTCTCGGCAAATCCTGCTGCGCACCCACTGGAGCGGAAGGATACGACCAACGTTGTTTTTCCGACGGCTTCCGTCAACTTCGACCAACATTACGAATGTTGCCTATTTTAACCGACGGTCTAGACATTAATGCATAACCGCAGACTTTCCTCGTATAACTGTTCCAGACGAGACAACATAGTGGAATTATTCATATGTAGTTGATTGTGATCAAATTCAAGGGAAGTTAATATAAACATTATGCATAAATGAAACAAACTGCAGTTAAGAAACTGATTCTAGTTCCTTCAAATCAGTTTTAAGAATAATAGTTTTTTTTCCTCGGTATGTCAGTATCTTCAAATCTCCGTTTCGGTGCTTCCTTGGAGCTGCATTACACCTCCATTGTGTGGTTTTTCGCACACTGAATTATTTCTCGTTTCTGAAGAAACTTTATGGCAGATGTTTCATCATTAGGCAGGTCCCGAATTTTCATATTCATGATAAATAGACCGAGACCAAAACTAACCCGAAAGCTTTCAGATTTTATATTACGCCAAAACGGGCATTTTCTTTTCATTTGCAGACCCATACGCGTTTCGAGAAAATTCGGACTA